ATTAGTTATAATCGATGTTCGATGACGCTTATCCATTCAATTTGGCTTTGAACTTTGAAGTTCCCTGTTACGACGTCATCGGTTTTCGCGCATGCGCCCTCATTCTTTATTTATGAATTCACGATTGTTAAATTCAATGTGTCTGACTGGACCCGAAGGACCCGAAAAACATGTAACAAGACAATATAGTATATTAAAAATATTTTAATATTAGTAATTAAAAATATTCTTTTAGATTGTTAAATGTCCGTATACGTGCGTGTTTTTCAGAATTTAAACTGCGAACAACGACACCTAGCGTTTTGTAACGGAAATAGAATTTCAACTGTATCATCGATGGAAATGGCTACCAGATGGCGCTGTAAATTTATGTTAGGAAGGTATTTTAATTTTATTGTAGAATATTCGCTCTTTTATGAAATTACGCAACTAATGCAGATGTAAATAAATAACTTTTAATACATATAATAACTATTAAAATACAAACTTTTACCCAGATTGTAATAACATAATATTACTAAGATAGGATTATAAATTGTGGGTTTTATAGTATTAAAAAAAGGTTAATCCAAAGCAAAAACAATTATTATTCACAATATCTCATCAAAGAAACGCGTTAATAAAACGCGTCAGTTTAAACAAGGCGCGGGGAGTTTCCGATGCAAGTCCTCGCTCCCCGAGGCAAAATCAATACTCCCGATTGCTTTGTATCGGAGCCGCATAAGGCTATATCTAGACTAGATTTTTTTTCCTTGTCAAAACGAAATAGTATTTTCTAATCATAGGCAATACAGCTTTTTTTTAAATAAAAAAGTGATATTATATATTATAGAACAAGAAAAAATATTTTTAAAATATAATAGCATTTTGTATAGAAAGACTATTTTTACAATTTCTAGAAAAGTATATAAATATTCCAACCACACATTTTAAATCCGAGATCCTCCTTCATGTATATTGTATTTAAAAAAAAACTGAAAACGATAAATTAAATATTTAAAACGTTATTTCTTAATAACATCAATACGAAAAAAACAAAAGGCGATAGCACCTAAACAAAATTAGCTTTACCAATATATTTTTTTAAATCACTTCCAATATAAAAGTTTAAAACAATTTTTTTTTAATTTATGTTTTATTCATGAAATAATGTTTAAGTAAACAAAACTAAACGATATTTTAATTAAATATTATACCTTATCCTATTTTACTCACAATAGAATATGGCCGAGCACAATTCAACGTAATATTGCATTATATGAATCAAAAATAAGAAAAAACTTCACTCCAGTATGAACATAAGCTGCCCCGATTTGGTTCAATCACTGCGCATGTCCGAACTCAACGCAAGCGCACTAGAGGTGCCTTTGTGGCGGCCATATTTTATTGCTTTTTTTTTGGTCTGCCTTTAAACAGAAATATCGCCATTCATGGAAGTCAGGTATAAATTTCATGTTAACAGTTTTTATGCCGGGAGCCTAATGCAACGGAGGGCTACTATACGCCGACATGGGATTAACTAAAATTCTTTTAGTTTTGTTTGGTTAGAATTTTTGTTGTCGAAAATATCGATATGGATGCTTTGTTGAATTGTTTCTTAAATAGGATTAGGAGGTATTTGCATCTAATATCTTGTTAAGTCTACGCTTTTTTTACTCAACTGAATGTTTGAATGATATGCTACTGCGTGATTCAACCATTTTTGTTACTTTCATTAAAATGAAAATTTGGGAGTAACAATTTGGAAAAATGTTTATTACAATGTTTTGCTTAGCGACATGAATATAGGATTAAAAATAAATGAATACTCACATTCGTACTAACACAAAAATTGCTTAGCGTTAATTAAATTCGTCGTATTTTAATTAAGAATATCAAGTAATCAATTACAATACAGAGTAATGAGTTAAATTGATAAATATTCTCTTTTATTTTTTCACTTACTTGTTAAAATCCATATCGATTGCATTTTGCGCATCGGGGCGGGTTGGCCGTCTGCACTACATCTTCTACTGGCTGTCGTATCGGCACTACGAAAGCTTTTCAGTACGCAAGAGCGAAACTAGTCTGTGAAAATTCTCAAAAGCTGCTTTATCATTGCGTTTTTGAACGTTAAGTGTCATCTATCGGTAATCTTACGCACTATTAAGTCTGTTTCAACCTTTTCATACTGGAAATGTGCGAGTTTTAACTCATAAAATGTAATCACCAAGAAAGGTTTAATAAATTGCTTACCAATTTTTTTTCAATATTTTACAGGTTTCTTCATCATTACTTAAAATATTTAAAGTTTTAACTCTTTTTATTTATAAAAGTATTTCGCGGAAAGCTTTTTGACCACAACGCCATCTGTTTAAAAAACTGTACCTATAATTACGCTGTTGTAATTCAGCATGTCTTGAAACAACATTAGTGCATTAATTCAAAAATAGAGGACGTTTTACTTATTTTTTATTCATCATCAGAAACGTATCTTATTCAAACAACGAATGTATATTTCAAAAAGTTCTAGAACTAAATTCAGTCACCATGACCTTCCTTACCTTGTTAGTGTTCTTCTTTTATAACAGATGGCGTTTATTTCAAACAAGAAAAAACGTTAAAATCTCCTTAGCACTAAATATGGTAAAGAAGATTTGTATGTTGTAATATTCGTCTAGCAATTATTCCACCAGGAAAAAAACAATCACAATCTATGCTGCCAAGGTAACGCAAAAGTTTTTTTGCTGTAGTAAAAATAGCATTTCTAACGTATACACCAAAATGAAGAGGAAAATATACTTGTTAACTGATACTTTTTTGTACCACATTTTGTAAAAGTTGACAAGTTTTTTTGGTAAATCATTGATTCTGATTAAAGCAAGTCATAATACTGCTGTGTTGTATTAGAGTTATAAATAATATATATCCATAAGTACCAAGACTTTCTCTGTAATAGTAATGAAGCGATGATTGATAGAGCTCTTGCCCACGATTGTACTCAGCCTTTATACTCCGTCCAGTGCCAGGGAATTTTTATGTTGCGGAGAATTTTCTCACTTCAATAGTTTTCAATGAAGACATTTAGTGTTTATTATAAAGGATATTTATCATTCTTTTGATATGAAAATATTGTACAGGAATGTATTAATCATTTATTTTGACGTTGCATCCATTTAGGGAAATCGTAAATTGTAAATATAGTCGAACCGGGATAAGCGAGAGTCCAAGGGAGTGCGATATTTTTCTCTCTAACCCGAGTTTCTTGGCTATGGAGGTCGTCCGTCGAGAACGGACAATGACTCTTTCTTACTAGGTATCTCGATTATCGAGGTTCGACTGTATTCTCTGATTATTCGTATTATTTATTCTAGAAGTGGGCATTCTTAGACATGGTAATACCTGTTATTTACTTAAGAGTGTTGTAAAGCATCTATTGTATGGTCAAAACGAAGGTATTCTGAGATAGACACTTTAAAAATTCTCATTAAGCGTCTAACTGTTAGACTTTCGTTCTTTGGTTTTATCATTGGTAACAAAATGTAGTATTTCAAATGTATCATAACCAACCATTTTTCTTATAAGGAAAGGATGGGAAGTGGAAGTGATCTTTCCGGATGAGAGGATGACTGGAAATGTTTTCTTTTTGTGCATCCTCTCCTCCGTCGATCAAAGGTAGGCAACGCATATGCAATTGCGTATGTCTATGGGCAACGGTCACTTCGCTACTTCAGCGATTAATGCGGCCGCTCGCTCGTTTGTCACCTTATGATATAAAAAAAAGGAAAAAGTTAAGTCATTTTTTCACCAGTATTTGAATCTGATCATCCATAATAATTTCTCAAAATAACATAAAATGGAATCTTATCTGGGTCGTCAAAATGGTGTCTTACGAGGCTTGTACGACACCGCACGAGGTGAAAAATGATTCGCGACACAGCACACCTTAATGCGAGCTATCTTATGATCGGCCTGCGGTCTCCGGCCCGACGGACAGCGATACATTAATAATATTACTCATTGTTACGGTACACTATCCGCGAACGTATCTTAAAGGGCATGCCTTTGAAAATATTCGAGTCTCTTTTCCTCGCACAGATGGCAGAGATTGGAAGCTGCTCCCATTGTATTTGAAAAGGCGTTTGGTTATATAATTCAAGAATACATAATGTTGAATATGAGCTATCATATTAAGGTTAACTTCAATAAGTATTAAGAAGTTGTATACATAAATTTAATGTCATTTAAAATTAAAAATATTACATAACGCAGTTTGCAAACAAAATTATTTGATTAGATTATTATCTAATTAGAGTTGTGTCAACTCGGATTCTTTCTTATTAAAGTTCTTGTTTGGATATCATTATTGACCACCGAAAGAATAACTCAAGCTCAACATCTTATCACTTCTTAACAATGCTTAATGATAGGCGATAAACTGGACTGAATGATGTCATCAGGCCCCTTTTAAAGGTTGAAATAAAAGTTGTTTTGTTGTTTGAATATAACAAGGCAGGAAGTGCATTAGTTTTGAATTTAAAGGCAATTTTATTCCTAGATCCTTTTTCCGACACTCGGAATATTAAATATTTTCCAACCGACAACTGTATCAGAGCGAAGCGAACGAAACGAAATATTCGGACGGAATGATTTATAGGTTCAGCCTCCGATACGCGGCCCGCGACCTACAAACTGAGGCAACCTTCACATTTTTCGACAGTCTTTTGTTGGCGGCACGTGGTGCCGGCGCCCCAGGTTCGGCTGTCATGTCATCGCCGCTGCGTTCATTTATCATCACTCAATACTGCTATCAAACCGAGCGGCGTCTGACTGACGCTGCCGGCGCCCTAAAACTCCAGCCCAGAAAATCGTGAGCGAAAGCGAATATATATGAAACATTATTTAAATCAAATACAACTTCTTATTTCATTAAACATTTTTCCTAATATATCTCCAACGTGTGAGTAATCTTTAATCAAACAATCTTATATCATCATGATTTATTTTATCATCACCAATTTTTCAAAATTTAATACACTTTAATCATACGATACAATAATTTAAATGACCAGTGGAGCATACTTCCACGCTACAGATCTCATTTAAATTGGAATGAACGATAAACATATTTATATTTTATTAATTACAATGAAATAACACAACTAAAACAGTATCATACAAAATAGAAGGAAGATCGGGGAACAATAAAACTTAGGCCGCGTTCTATTGCACAGTTATTTAAAAGTCCATGATACATTTCATAGAAGTTACTTACGCATAGTTTTAATGAATTTGAACATTATTAAATTGAATTATTCTAATATTTACGTCTAATATTTACAAACAATAAATAAAGAAACAAATTAAACGGTTCGGGAAATCAAAATAGTAACGTGAACACTGAAAGGAAAAAAAATCTTTCTAAACTCAAATCATTGTTTGACTTAAAAATAAAATTTAACAAAATATCACAGTTGACCACGACATTTCTATTATAACGAAATGTTTTTAACTGCAAGTCCTTCATGGGACAGTGGGTTTGAAAATAATAAAAAAATAACTAAATTTTTAGTCGTTTAAGGAAACAATATATTTACTTGCTAAGAATATTTAAGTACATTTTACAAATACGATATTAATTATATTAAGTAGTCACATGTACTGGTATGCTTCGTAAGAAATTCAAAGTTGATCATGTTAGACGAACCGTAAGTGTAAGTGACATAAATATTTTACTACGTATTTACAACTAAGAACAGGAACATAAAACAGTTCTTAAAGAAGTACTAAGCTGAATAATATATTAAATTTCCACCATACAACTACATGACAAAATGTATTTACAATATTAAGCAAAAACTTCTACCTATTCACATTATTTATTTTCATTAACTGAGCTTATATTTTTCAAATAGTTTCACAGCGTCCTTCCAAGCATTGCCTTTTATGATCCTGTTTGATCCTGTTTGTTTTTAAACCAAATTTTGTTTTGTCATACGATTCGAACGTATATCATATTTGACAATTTTCACTAAATCCCTGTACATTTCCGAATTTGTTGTATGTGGTGACGGCTAACGCATTACCAAATTCAGATTATCGGTTACGCACAGCGCTTCATAAAACAAATGTCTACCTTAAAGTCTAAGTAGCCATCACAATTTACATGATTAAACTTTAAATTATTTTACACTATTAGGAATAGTACGTAGATCAAATTACGGCTTATGACTAGGTAAAATTTTTTCTACAACAATATTTGTTATTGTTTAAACATTTTTATAAACGTCGAAACAATAATGGTAGTGATCGAAGATATCCTTCGTTCGAAACACGATTCTGATGATCTCGGATATCTAATAGACTCTATGTATTGAATTTATATTAAGTTATGTTACATGTTTGGTCTTAAATTAGGATTTTATTCAAACACACATTTTCTTCTTGTTCTTCACTTTGCACAAACACAAGTCTTTTCTGTCACTAATAGTGTCACAATAGTTATTTCAACAATTTTTGTCTAGCACATTATGAAATTTTTCGAACAGCGAATAACTGATCCAGTCTGGTTGCTATATCATCAAAAATCTAAATTGGATTTGAAATGGTACGAGCAACCCCGTCTTCTAGACGATCGACTGTATTTTTAGTAAATCAGTTATCCACTATTCGAAAAATTCCACTGATCCTATGCGGAGAGATGCGCAAATTGACTCGGGTGAAGGTCAAACTGGTACGGATGGCCATACGGATTCATATGGTACGGGACGATATTCATCGATGCCATCTTATGCTCCTTCTTCCACTTCATGCGGCGGTTCTGGAACCAGATCTTTATCTGGCGCTCGGTGAGGCAAAGCGCGTGCGCGATCTCGATCCTTCTCCTCCGAGTCAGGTACCGGTTGAAGTGGAACTCCTTTTCCAGCTCGAGCGTCTGGTAACGCGTGTATGATGTCCTCTGACGTTTCGTTTCCCCGTTTGCATTCACTGTACCTGAAAAATATTAAACGATCCGTAAGTAAATTAAAATTACATGTTCGAGTTTGTTTGATGCAGTTTTATTATAGTCACAAAACGTGAGGCACGCTACTATTTAGAACTGAATGCCCGTTTGAGCGCCAATGAATACTTGGCTCGATCGACTTCGTGCTTTGCTACGCTTGCCCGATTGTGATATACGGCTAGAGGCGATGCGCACGATTCGAGAGCAAGATTAAAAAGAATAAAATAAAAATTACACGCTTCTACAATTTGTTATTTTACTTCCGAGCTGTCGCATAATTTCAATCTTGTAAAACGCATTGTAGCCGACATGTTGCGATATAACTCATGGTTTTCGACACGTGTTATTGCAAGACAGATCGCCGTTCGAAATAGAATCGTGTGGAGATCAAGAGCGAGAATAATATTGTAGTAAATAAATAGTTTTTATTTGTGGAAAGTCAGCAGATATGTGCGGTAGTGAGACGAAATCAAAGGAGTGGCTGTCGAACGACAACGTCAGCGAGCGGTCGAGTCATCGGTTGCAGGCGCAGGGCGCACCTGTCGCTCGTCGTCGCCGGCCGCCGCCCGCGCGCCTGGCCGCTCGCCATGCCCCGTGATCGATACGCGCTGAGTCTCGAGTATGTCTACCAAATTAAACCGAGTCATTTGTTATATTTCTTTAAGTAGCTTCGCCCGCTAATGAGTTACTTTTGCAATATAATTAAATTGTGCACATACTGTTGCACTTAATAGTCTTTGTGTCTCATTAAATCAGTTGGATGAAATAAATGAATTGAAAATTAAAGTACTATAAGGAGCAAAGAACAATTGAATAAAAGAATAAATCGATCGTAACTAAAACAGTAGTGAGCCGATACTTTCCTTTATTCAGGCCGTCTTGGCAGGCCCGCGTCAATAAAGATGTTAAAACGCTATAAATATTTGATGTCCGAAGTACTACAAGTGAAGTCGCGGCAAAAACCCTACAGATTGAAATGTTAGTGACAGCTCGATGCACAAACAACCGACTGACAGCATTATTTTAACATAATCCTTGTATAGAGACGAAACGAATGGACGCAATACGAGGGCATATGAATTTCAATGCGATCTCACGAATATGTTGATTTTGATAAAACGCCAACATCGAGATTCTAATTTGAATTAAATATGACGAGGAAGTGCACATGTTTCAATATTAAATGTCGAACTATTATTGATGTGAAATTATAAAACAGATATAATATTAGCAAAGGATATTAAACGACGGTAACAAAGTTTATTTATTCTTGAAAGTTATGGAATTTTAAAACAAAACGAAAATCAATTTAATTGACAACTGGCATAAGCAATTTAAATCTAAAAGATGGTGCAATTTTTATATTCTTTTTTTTATAAAAAAACATAAGTGCTGTGAGTCTTCGCTAGAGGGAGACAAAGATATCTATCCCTCTTGTGAGATGTTCATACAACAAATATTATGACAATACAAATCTACGGTAATACATAATAAGTGGTAATATTATGTCTCGTATAGTACTTGAGTCTAATAATTTAATAACACAATAAATTCGCTGTCATTAGAATAAAGTTAAAATTATTTACGATCAAAGTGAATAATTATTCTTGTCGTTAAATTAACATAATACATTGAATAGTTGATTTCTGCAATGTTTATTTTAATGCTTATACTATACGTACTTTCTATGTATACTTATATTATAAAGAAGAAAGAATTGATTGTTAGTATTATATGTTTGCATTCCAGCGTCGCATCGGCGGCTCTGGGGTTAAGCACTTCACTTGCAATCTGCAGGTCCTAGGTTCGAATCCCGCCATGTACCAATGTGTTTTTCGATTTTCGATTGAGTTCTTACGGTGAAGGAAGAAATCGTTATGCAACTTGCACATATCTGCGAATAAATTCAAAGATATGTGAGAAGTCAACCAACCATCCAGCCAGCGTGGTTGACTATGGCCTATCAGCCCTTACTTAGGGTAGGCTCCCAGCCCCTTAAATAGGCTAACTATTGAACCTATTTGGAGAATTCTTTCACTGTTGGGAATATACACTATCCCCGGGTGCTATAGGTTGTATGCATCGCTATTTTTTTTTATAAAATTCCACGCGGATGAAGTCACAGGGAACTGCTAGTTATAGTTAATTAGTAATTACAATAATTATAGTATTATTGAATTTAAATAGAATAGTATTATTGGGTTTAAATGCGTTGTATTCAAAGAACTTCTTACAAAATCTATTTATTATTATATTATAGACAATCAGGACAAGCACGACCTTCAGTAATGAAGAATACGAAGAAGAAGAAGAGATAGACAATCTTTCTGCATTTTAATCATGTCCAAATGGCAATTGTGGTTTATAAAGATTGATAAAAACTCGAAACTAGTGTTTAAAAATTTATGAAAAAACAAGTTAATAGAGATTTTATAGTCGATTATTTGTTATTGCATGTCAACTACTACGTTATATTCTAGTAAATGCGTAGAACTTTAAATTAACTTAAGTTATTACGTAATCAATAATATAAGTCGCTAGATAGAAAAAAAATTCTCGATGGAAACTTGTCGTTGACATCGTCGCCGCAAATAGGCAGTTTTTATCCTACTCAGGTAATTCTAGGTCACAAACCATTGATATTCCGTCTGCCTGGATCTAGACATATTGCATGGTCGAATATTAAACGAATGGCATCGTAATACTTATGGATGAGACAATATTTGTTAACTAAAACAGCTAGTGTCTGGTGACGGCTTCATGGCATTTTTTTGTGTGAATTTAGTTTCCAAAGGAATTGCAGAGTTTTTTTTCTTTATTATTTTAAAAATTATTTATTTGTTAATGCTCATTACAACTCTATTTTATTTATACTATTAGCTGTAAATTACTTGAATTTCATAAAATAAACCTAAATTATTTATAGACAGATTAACATATCGTTTCCAAAAATCTAAATTAGATTACTGAGTTGTAAATGGCTTTTTAACAAGCTGTGAGCTGTTGAAAAATTATTTGAATACATTCGTTATTTTTTCTAGATTCAAGATGTATCAGTGTTTTTTCGGATTCGTAAAGGCCGTGACAACTTAATTTTAAATTCACCTAATTGCTTATAAAGCAAATGGTGCTATGAAAATTGCTAAATCGTTAGTTATGTAACATTTTGCGTCCCAATCACCGACATTTAAGCATATCTATACGTATTAATAAAATAGAAGTGTATGTATGTACAAAAACAATAAATTATGTTTCGTACAAGTATTTGCGTAGATGATAACGAGAAACCAATTAGAAATATATCTGTCTGTATGTCTGTCCGTAAGACCGCGTTTGTTTCGACTAAACTCCGAAACGGTGGAACCGATTTTGTCGGGACTTGGAAGGATAAGTAGCTGATACACGCGGGCATGTTATAGGATACTTTTTATTTGTAAATCGGTGCTGAAAAAGTCGCGGGCGGCCGCTAGTTCACATTTTTATATGACTTAGGATATATACAATGTAATCGACCTTGATGACAACCTTTGAGTTTGTCGCAATGGACATTGATAAATAATTTTTTGCATAATAGTAGGCATATACAAGATAACAATAATGACAGGCATCAATAAAGAAAATACTCCATCGTGTATTTTTTTCATCGAATATAAATATGTTGGCCGAGATATTTTTTTGTAATTTGAAAGAAAATGTGATTATATAAATTTTGTTCAACAGTTAATGTAAATCTATTTATATTGATATTTTTATACGCCAACGTCACCCTTAAAACAATCTGAACATGATAAATATCAAAAATACAAGTTGTAACATTTTTCTATCGGGCGTATATCTTTCCATCAACATAACATACTTAATAAGCTCGCGTCTCTGAATATGCCAACATAAAAATGTTTAGCGATAAAACATCAAAGACGCCATGACTAATGATATCTAGATGAAAACAGAATACATGCAATAAAAGTGTCACGTGTTTTTTATAGCCACAGTCAAATTAACTACAGCCACAGAGCAAAAGGTAGATTTAGCTTACCAGCAAATATTTGCTGCGGTTATACGTAATTAAATAGCGCTTTTGTGAGAGGAAGGAGCTAGTAAACGTTTAAGAAGTCACGAAATTGCTGCACGTGATGTTGTGAATAATGAAACAGTGAAAAGACAGCCCATACACATTTGCACTGCTGCCTTCTTTTTATAGACAGAAGAGAGGATTTACCAATAAAGGATATTTCACTTTTCTACACAACTTTTTTCCGCGGTCTGATTAACCTCTATCCATTCCTTCTTCTTTATTAGATATCAATTCGTCGTCGTCTGAATATAATCATAGAATACGATTCATCATCATCATCAGCTCACTACACGTCCCCACCGAGGGGCTCGGAGCCTACCCTAAGTTACGGGTGACTAGGCCATAGTCAACCACGCTGGCCAAATGCGGGTTGGTTGACTTCACACATATCTTTGAATTTCTTCTCAGATATGTGCAGGTCGCATCACGATGTTTTCCTTCACCGTAAGAACGTCGGATAAATGTACATATGCTACGTTAGAATACGATTATTTTTCTTTAAATACTTTAGTGATATTTGCTGTATACCAATTCGTATTTTCTTGTGATTTTTTATGAGCCTTTTTCTAAATTCAAAACACACTCATCATGATTTTCTTTATTGCTCATATTTTATCATAAATACAATGAATAGAATTGCTAAGTAAAATAAAAATAAAATACTCCGATTCAAATATTCTTGTTAAAAGACATTAATATCAATTTAAATGGCGATGAGAGAATTTAGTGAACAGTTGTTTTTTTATTAAAGTCGCGTAATGCATGAGGAAATTCTGCAAGATAATTACATTCTGACCCACACAGAATATATACAGTGCATGAAATTGTGTGTACCTAGAGTATAAATGCTATTTTTTAACAAACTGATATA